TTTTGATTATGTGATTGGTTAATATTTCAGAGTCTAATGGATTTGCAAGAGAAGCTATAAAGTCTTTTTTTTTTTTGTCGCCAGAAAGAAAATAACTATGGTACGCTCAGAAAGAAGCTCTCCGCTAGGGGGAGCCAACTAGGAGCCGAGGTACTCATGTAGGAGAACAGACAGTCACGCGATCGAGCATTTTTGGCCAAATGGTCCGCTCGGGTGTTTGAAAGTCGGGGGATAAAGCGGATATGGAATCCCGGGAGAAGATCTTGGAGGGATTTGAAGGACTCCAGTTCCGCTGCAAAAGAAGGCCAATCCAGCGGTTTTTCGATCATTTTCACAAGATCTGAGCAGTCAGTAGCAAAACTTGTAGTAAACGTCCCAATCTTAGACATGCACTCCATTGCCCAAAGGAGTGCATCTAACTCTGCATGGAGGGGAGATAGGCTTCTCCGGAAGCTTTTTAAGCCCAGATGAACGACCTTATTGGATTCGATGAGAACCCATCCTAAGCCACTCAGGGATCCAGATGGGGTCCACGAGGCACCACTCTATTTGTGGAAGTCATTACCAACAAAGATATCAAACGTTAAGATTAATTTGGCTGAGATATTTAGGCCTCTCTTGAACCAAATAAGGAAGCGTGCTTATTCTAGTCTTATTGCTTCTTTACACATTTGAATGAGAGTTTCGATGGTTTTTTTGTTCATTGCATTTTTGGTATTTAGCTTCTTTACTAATGTTATGAATAAGAAACATTTACAAGGAGAGACTTATCGTATAGTCAAGCGAGCGATTAGCGAATATCCAAGGATTGGATGGCGAGTTTGGCTGCAACTGAGGAAATGTTCTCTTTTATGAGTGCCATTGAGAGTTCTAACCTCTCTACTGTATCTTTTATATCCATTGCTTTCAATTTCTCTTGTTGTAGCCTTGATAGTTCTGACTTTGACGATCCTGAACGCGAAAAACCGGATGATTTGAGAACTTTGTGGCGTTATTGTGTAGTAAGATTTGATAGTAGCTTCTTGAAACATGAAAATATGTGAAAAATTACCAGATATGGGTTGAAATGCAGAGAAAGATAGACGTTCTTGGAGAGAAGGTAAAAATGATTTGTCACATTCAACTGGTCGCTCATCTTCAGCCCAGTTTAGAGAGTTAATGAGAGGAGTTTGTAGCGGCGCGTCTGCTGGAGCCTATTGCGAAAGGAGATTGATGTAAAAGATGTACATACAACTTAGATAGAGCCATATCTAAGGGGACAGATGATAGATCTTTTGGGTAGGTTTGTACCTTAAGTTTGATCTCCAAGCTGTTAAGATTCTTAATAGACTCCTTCAGCTGGGAGACTTTGGAGGTTAATTCATATATGCTCTCCTGATTCACACGATCTTGTATTGGTCTGACCTCTCCGGACAAGTAAGGATCTGCCTGAGACAACAATTCATATTGTCAGAAAATCAAGTTCCGATATCCTGGACTAAGAAAACAACTTGTATAATCTCGTGAAGTAAAAAGTAAAAACAGATTATGAATAAAAGCCTAAACAATTCTAACACGCAAAAGCACGTTAGATCAGCCTGAGTAACTTAGAGAACCATCAAATTGTTTAACAACATACGACATCATATGAATTGATTTACAGAGCTTAAGCTAAGCTTGGATAACATTTCCTCAACAGTATTGGCAAAAGAGAAGGAACAGAGTAACTTGTTGTCTAGTTCAAGTCGACAAGCTAAAGTATCACATTCTAATCGTTACCTCAATTCCAACGTTAACCAAAGATTACAAATTCATACTTTATATCCAACACTAAGAATCTAAATTCACAGCGAAGCTCGCAGTCTAGTTCTAGTCGAGAAGCCAAAGTTGTTACCTTAAAGTTTGCGTTTAACCAAAGATTATAAAATACATACATTATATCCACAACCTGCAATCTTACCCCTAAAAACCGTGAAATCTTCACACGACCAGCACCTCGTATAGAAACAAGTGCACCAACATCTAATCTCTCAACCTACAACATATTATAAGCTTCAGAACACACAAGAAACATTCAACAAAACACACAAAAAACCTCCGAGAAATCCTTACGTTTTCGATAAGTACCACGCAGCCATATCGAGCAGCAAAGGAAGCTTCTGTAGCAGACTCACTAATTGAAATAGGATCCAGAATGAAATGAACAAACATATTCTTCTTCCTCTTCATTGACTAAAACCAAAACCACAACACCAAACGTTTCTTCACCAACAATGTAATAGAGCCAAAGTATCATCATATCTATACACTAGTGTTTACCTCTTCAAGTAGAGCTAAGTACCTTGCTTCATACAAATGCAAAGTTTTACTCTCCGTTGGTACAAGAACCTGTGAAAAATCAAAATCCAAATTCAAATTCAAATCTGGTAATATAGCTTAAAATTGAGATTCATGGAGCTAACCTCACTCATGCTGAAAGGAAGAAGAGGAAGATCGAGTGATTTGGAGACGATTTTTGAGCGGCGAGTGCGAATACTACAACCTCCGGGAATTGAATTCGCCGGGATTCGAATACGGCGGAGGGTTTGGGATGGGAAGAAAGAGGAAGAGAGATTTGAGGAGATTAGTGTGGAAGTCATCGGGAGAAACGTAAATCGCAGTAATCGGATTCAGGTTTCTCCTCCGTCAAGCTCAGCCGTAAAAGATACCATAGTGAAGAAGAAGAAGATAGATCCGGTTAAATTGAAATTGTATCCGGTTTAATTGAAACTGAAAATATACCAGTAATTGTATCCGGTTTAACACCACATTATCGGTTTAGTTTAATTCCGAGTTAATTTGGTCAACTGTGAAATACATAACAAATTTGCCACAGTTTTCTTTGTTTTGTTTTGATAAT